TCTTTTGCTGCAGCTTTAGGGAGTCAATTTTATCCCTGACGGAACATGATGACAAGCAGGTATACTTTATTATGTTTCCTTTCCATGAACCGCAAATGAATAAAATTAGTTATCTCGCATAGTTATCGTTCTTCTGGTTAGGAGCTCTTATTGGATCTCTTACTGTTCACTTCCTGCTTTCTAAAATGTTGCACTAAATTTCTACATGGGAAAGTTGTCTTAATTTTTCTCTTTTTTATGCAGGTTCATCAAATTGCAAGGAACTTTAGGGATAAATGGATTCCCAAACATATCAGGAAATTTGGCTTTGCTGACAGGGCTTCGGCATCACATAATGACTGGCGCGATCAGGGCGGGAGACCTACAGAAGCAATTGATTCCTTCAGGCAACCAATTCTTGCAACAGCTACGGTTGTCACTGTTAGTCAGGATAGTGGCAGAGCATCATGTGCTGAAGACAGCTCGGTTGATGGTAAAAGAATCCGCAAGCGCAAGAGCCGATGGGATCAGGATGCGGAGCCAAATACACATCCAAGGTTCTCACAGCATGAGGAACAAGTGTGTGAAGAAAAAAAGGATTGTCCTGGGTCTGTCAGCCTCGAGTCTTCTCTTGGGGAAACTGTTGTGGCCGATGGAAGGCATCAGAACAGCTGTGAAGATGTTCCTCCAGGATTTTCATCTCCCCCTGACACATCTAGATTTTCTTCTAATGCTTCATCAATGGTGATGGATGTCTCTCATGAGAATGTTTACCACTTGCACTGCCCTTTCAATGTGGTTGCAGGGAATCCACAGGGGAAGTTTATTTCCCGTTTGCCTGTCTCATATGGAATTCCCTTATATTTTCTGCAGCATTTGGGTAAACCCCAGGCTGAAAGTATGGAGAGCTGGATTGTTGCTCCTGGCATTCCCTTTCATCCTTTTCCTCCATTGCCCCAACTTCCTCGAGAGCGGAAGCGTCAGTCACCTGCACAAAATGTTGATTCTCAGAACACTGGCCACTCTGCTGACACAACACAGGTGGATGAGTGCAGTCAAGCTAGTTTTATTGATGACAGCAGCACTGGGACAAGCAGCTCTAACCTAGTAGATTCAGAGGTTGCATGTGCCAATAGCCAGCAAATGTTTAAGCGAGTGAAGATTTCCTCTCAGGATATGGGTAGGAGGTACTTCAGGCAACAGAAATGGAACAATACTAAAGTTCCCCCTTGGCTTCGGAAAAGAAACTGCTGGGGATACTCTGTAAACAACTCAAAAGGTGGAATGTGCAGCATAGGTTTAGGAAACGGTGTGAATGGGCAGAAGAATTGAGACTTTTCAGATGATTCAAATTGGAAAGTGTGGACGGATGACGGGAATTATGACTAGCATCTGCAGCACCAAAATCACTATCGATTTATTGGAAATATTTAAAGCTCTAATTTTCATTTTTTTTGTATACTTTGATGTATCTCAATTCTTTTACTTGTGGATTTCACTAAATGAAAATCTGATTCAGTTTTTAGAGTTTACAGCCCCTTCATCAGTTGAGTCTCACAATTTCTTCTTGGATATGTGGCTTTTTTCTGCAGTAAAGAAGGTAAGTTCATTATAATTCTACTACAGTGAAAATCAGGAGCCTGGTGACTGCGCACACATTCTTGTTCATGTTTTGATTGTCGTGTGTTTGCTGTAAGGTTACCTCTATGACCTATCGATGATTTTGGGGAAGTTATTACTTATATCACGTCTCGTGCATTTCACTTTCCCGATCGATTTCTTAATTATGATTTCTGACTAGGGCATACTTTTATGGAAGGTGTAAGAAAACCTGCGGAATTGACAGGACATGGTAGGTTCACATGAATACTAGAGAAAACAAGGTTCCAGGTTTCAACTTTCAATTGGAAGGATGGGGTAGGTTCCAAAGTGTGAATCATTCTAGAGAAAACAAGGTTCCGGGATCCAAATTTCAATTGGAAGGATGGGGTAGGTTCCAAAGTGTGAATCATTCCTAGCTTGTACCTTTTAACTTGATCTATATACATCGTTGCCAGTGGGAACAATTACTAATACATAAAATAGAAAAAAACAATCGATATACATCTATGCACTCATGGGAAATCTGATTGTTGAATTGGTAATCATTCTTCTTGCTCTTTTCCCACCGAGTTGAAAAGGCTAGCTGGTTCGAAGGATTCAGATGAAGGATATTAGATACTTTATTTTGGTTTTATGTTCCATATAGGTTATTTTTTGGTGAATTTGATTACTTTAATGACTTTATATTCTTATTACCAAATATTTTTTTAATAATTTAGTTGTCCTATCTTAAACATCAAATATGTTAGCAGCCGGTCTATGCAGTACAACATTTTATCCCCTGTTAGATGAAAAGAAATGGAAAAAAGTTGTGGTGTCCTGGCACTTGTAATCTACCCATTCCAGATTTTGCAACCCCCTTCATAAAATATTTTGTATGGAAGCAATGTCTTGTTATGAAGTTTCTGAAAGACTTCCAATCTGAAGGATTCGTTATTATTTACTTCTCTGTTAATGAAGCATAATGTAGTTGAGTCCAATTTGCCAGCCGCATTTTCCTTTTATTTCGCAAGTGCATGGTTGCCTAATCTTACCGCAACTCTGCAACCACCCTTTGTTGTGGTATACCCTTGCGACTAATTTCTGGTGGTAGTAATAGTGGAAGGCTGATCAATTTCAAGGGTTTATCCTGAAGAGCAATGTTTGATCTACTTATTAATTTGGAATGTCTGGGGTCTTGAATTCCATCCATGCCTGGTATCACAGGAGCCACCTTTATAGGGTCAGATCCACCCTGTAATTGCAGTGTAAGGGACACTGGTGACTTCGAGATTAGTTGGAATGCTCAAGAGTTTGAATTGCCCTTGTCATAAAGACGAAGATTAATCTAGTAATGCTGGAAGGAGTAATGTTATTGAAAGATATTTACATATTTTAGCTCTAATTGGTATCCAATTTGGAGGTATTAAATGCTTTCCTATGTGTATTTGCAGTTTCTTTTTTATAAAGAATGATTTGTAGGAAGTGTTATGACACTGAAGGGCATTACAATCACGGCCTACTGTAATTTCAGTCCTCTTTGCATTAGGCTATACTAGGATCGTACTTGTGTTGCTGTTATTATTTCCAATTTGGTTGGTCTTCTTTTCAAAATAAAAGTGACAATATGTTTGTCGGACATCCTTCTGCTTTTTGAATATTATGAATGCCAGCTCAGTCTAGAAAACTGGAATTCAATACATATTTTTTGGTGCTCCTCATACGAGGGAGGAGAGTGTCTGTGTGTTTATAGGTGTGGCTTTTGTTGTTGGGGGGGGGGGGGGGGGGGTGGGGTTTGTTAATGATTTGCAGAGGCTCTTTGCTTTTGATTATTCCTCGATTATACAATGCATGAGTGACGACATTCTTTTGCATGGATTCAATGTCTTGGACTAATTTCATGTAAGAGATGCTATTCACTTGCTGCACATTTGCCGAATTTTTTCTCTTACTCTCCTAGTACTTGGTTATTTGCATAGAGTTGGAGCTTAGTCTGAAATTCATGCTTGCTGAATGGCTTATTTTGGGACCAAACTAACGATATGAACACTCGGTAAGATGCCATCTCAAATATCTTTGGAATGAAATTTATGATGCCATGTCAAGCCTGGCAATAAGACGCCATAAAGCCTAAGTGAAATTTCCCTATTTTATCGTCGAGTGGACTTGATTCAGCTTTGTAGCGGAAAATAGGGATTACTTGACAGGAATATAGTGCTGGATTTACTGGACTACAAAAGACTGGGCAACGTTTCATCTGCACCATATGGTAGTATCTCATGCCCATCCTATATTTGTTGGAATCCTGAAAGAAAGATGAAATTCCGATTGTGGTTCTTGCTTCCTTTGGCTGAAGAGGAAATGTAGATTCTGTTTAGAAGCGAAGGAACAAAGATGTGACCGAAACGAAAACTTTTGCTCTCTCGAGTGACTCAACATGGAGAATTTGATTTCCATGTTCAGATGTCTTGTTGGAATGGGAATTGGTGTATTGTATTGTCTCTTGATTTACGAGACTAAATGGCATGCGGATTTGGATATGTTGATCCATTATGACGGGTTCAAATGGAAAAGAACGTAGCAAGCGCTTACATTGATCTTGCTATATTTTAGTGGTGTTCATATATATACTGTGGCGAGTGGAAGGAGGATTATCTTGGAGTATCCGGTAGCCACATCTTCACCTGAAGTCAGATAAGAACGGCATTCTTTCTTGTGCCATGTACGAAGAGGTTTCAATTTGTGCAATTCCTTGTGTCGATTGTGCCTTCAATTTTAAGAGTCTAGGAATCTGCAATTGAATTACTGTTCTTCTGTTATTGGGTTTTTTGTCGTTTTAATGTCGGTCATACATCGAAGCCGTTAACGTGATTATTATCAGCTGAAAGCCGCGATAATGAGGTTGGGCAGCTAGATGCTTTGTAGCGTTGAGCTAGTGGATGGTATCTGCTGCTGGTAATTCGCTCATGTTGATTTCTCTTGATCTTTGCAGTAACTTTTTCCGCTGCTTGTAAATTAAAGAGAACTACCATGAAAACTAAGAGATTACCCGGTTATTTACCGACCACGACCACCATTTGTCGTCTGAATCATGGAAATTTCGCTCATGGCAAACGTTTCTCGTGGAAATAGAACTTTTGATGGTTTCAGTAAAACTGCTTCCGAAGTATGTTTCTGATGCTAAATCAATGGTGCAGAGAATGAAAAGAAGTTCAAGTTCACAGCGAATGCGTACCTACCACATATGGATAACATTGGTTCAATTTATTTCGAACTATATTCTCCCGTAGCGTCGAATAAATTCAGGCAGAAATGTTCCTTTTTTCTTTTTCGACCAAAAAAAAAGAAGCGTTCCTTGTTATTATTATTTATTTTCATTAACAAGAAAAGTGTTTTTTCCCTTCACCACAAACAGAGTATGCATATCCCCGCCAATTGCGAGAAACCTTATCCACAAAATCAATGGATCACCAATTCTCCTTGTGCCTTGCCTGTACGATACCTCCAATCACTCCCACAGTCCTATTTTTCTTGCATATAATACAGTAAAACTTACTGCCAAAAGAAGAAAAAGAAGCTCAAGTTCCCAGAAATACTGCTCCTTGAAGAGCAACAATTCAAAGAATGGCAGCATCATCCTCTTACATGGCATCCGCGAAACTCTCCATGTTGGGCTGGCTCGGAAAAAGCAATAAATTCAGCAAAAGCAACGGCAGTCCATTCACCATTTCAGCTCAGCAACAGGCACAGGTCCAAGAACAAGAAGACATGAAGGCACAAGAAGCAGCCGCCCCGGGACAAGAAAAGGCGAAGCAGCCGGAAGGGACGAGACTGAGGCCGGTTGAGCCGCAAGTGAATGTCAAGAGCAAGAACATGAGCCGCGAATATGGGGGGCAGTGGCTGAGCAGCACGACGCGGCACGTGAGGATTTACGCTGCGTATATCGACCCGGTCACCTGCGAGTTCGACCAGACTCAGATGGACAAGCTCACCCTGATCCTAGACCCGAGCAATGAGTTCGTGTGGACCTCGGAGACCTGCAACAAGGTCTACGGCTACTTCCAGGAGCTTGTTGATCACTACGAGGTATTGTACTCTCTTTTCGATGAATGAAGCATTGCTTTTGCCCATGGGAGTAATTCACGTGGTGCTTTCTTGAATTTTCTCATTGTCATTGTTATGCAAATTCACATGAAATGGTAATGACAAAGCATACATGAGGTCTTTCCTTGCATGCATCGCTTTGCAGTTCGTGGTATTGCTTACACAACCGCTAGGACCTGTCGTTTATGATCTCATTTTTTGTGATTTTACGGGAGAGTAAAGGATGGTCCTGTTCATGTTGTATGGTGGCATATACTAGACTGCTACTAGTACTCGGTACATCATGCGACATTACGATCCGTAAGCACTTTTGGTGAATTTTAAACTGATGAAATTGCTGGGATTGCTGATGCCAGGGTGCGCCGCTGACGGAGTACACTCTTCGGCTGATTGGATCAGACATAGAGCACTACATAAGGAAGCTGTTGTACGATGGAGAGATCAAGTACAACATGAATGCCAGAGTGCTCAACTTCAGCATGGGAAAGCCCAGGATTATGTTCAACAATAACAACCTTGATGGCCAAATTCCTGAGGCACAATGAAAAACACACACACACACACAGTCTTACCTAAATTGCCTTTCCTCAATCTCCTATGGTTTTATGAAGACCTTTGTAAAAATAGGCATTTCATCGTAGCAAATGTTGAGGTTGTATCTGGAGTTTTCCCTTTCTCTGCACCAAAATCATTGTGAATGATTATACAATTTGAGGAGAACGGACACGAATGATTTTCCAAGCAACGACTCAACTACAGAAGCTATGGAAAACAAATAACGCCACTACGAATCTGTGAACTTTATATTGTTGGGATTTCAAATCGATCCATGAGTTATCATCACTTTGGATTAACAAGCCCTTGACCTTTTTTGAACAATATCCAATATCACCCTTCTGTTAAATTAATATGGCTCTCAGTTGTAATGCTTGGTCGAACATCAGGCTTCTAACTGGTGTAGCTGAGTCGCATGGATGGTATCACATGAAAAGAGAAGGAAATATGCTTGTTTTAAGTGGTAAATTTCTAAAAAAGTTGTGACTTATTATCGTATTTCATGTTGGTAAATTGCTAACATTGTCGGCGAATTACTATCAATGTGTTAAAACTGAATTTGTCCGTTAAACGATTTTTCTAACAAGTTTAGATCTTAATGACAGTACCGGAAAGTTAACCACGCACGGAAACTTGTTCCTTTTCGGTAGACAGAATAATAAAATCCTGCATAAAACAATAGCATTGCGAATGTATGTTAGGATGTATGTTTTCCGAGTTGGGACTAGCCAAACTCTCTCAATGACCAAGTTGTGATTAGTTAAACACCGTTTATGGCGTCTTCTTCCTCGAGCATTTGTTAGATTTCTTGAATGCGATTGCTTTGAATGGAGACTGATGAGGTGGTGATTCATTGATTGCCAGGGAGGCCATCTGGCCAGTCCCTTTGGAAATCGTTTGGCATTTTTGGTTATGCCCTCTTCCTTCAGCCAATGCGAATGACCTGCGATCCCCGTCTTGCTCTTGCTTCTGGATCCGAAAAATCGTCTGGGCTCGTGCTGACTAGCTGGCCGGATTCTTGGGATTTACTGATTCAACCCAAGTGGATCCGATAACCACCCGAAGGCGGCATAATCTCTCTTTCCTCCATCATGCCGACCGCCTTCATGTCCGGGTCGATCTCTTGACCATGTATAGCATTAGCATGGAACGTCGCTGTGGTCCCCCAGTGAACTGCCAATTCCAAGTTCTACCCTCGGTCCTGGAAACGGTTTACTGGGTTGTGAGAAGAGAATATTGCTGGTATTTCAAATCGATATCATCACTTTTGGATCAACAAGCCTTTAAACTTTCTCAATAATATTCAATATGGTCATTTCGTTACATTAATATATCTCTCAATCGGCTTTTGCTGACCAGGACAGTCGGAATGCTCAGCTGAACATCAGTGTTTTAGTTGATGAAGTTGAGTTGCGTGGACGATACTATGAAAACAGAAAAAAAAAAAGGGAAAATGACATAAACAGTCTCTGAATTTTGACTCAATGTACAATTTCGTCCCTAAACTTTTAATTTGTTCAATGTAGTCCCTGAACTTTAACCCAATGTTCAATATGGTCCCTGAACTTTCAATTTGTTCAATGTGGTCCCTGAACTTTTGGTACATGTTCAATATAGTCCCTGAACTTTATAAAAATGTTCAATGTAGTCCTTCCATTAATTCAAGTTCAGGGACTATATTGTATATTTTCATCATTTACTAAAAGTTCAGGGACCAAGTTGAACAAATTGAAAGTTCAGGGACCAAGTTGAACAAATTGAAAGTTCAGGGACCACATTGAATATTGGGTTAAAGTTCAGGGACTACATTGAATAAATTAAAAGTTCAGGGACCAAATTGCACATTGAGCTAAAGTTTAGGGACTGTTTGTGTCATTATCCAAAAAAAAAAATAGAAAAGGAAATTTGCTTGTTCCAAGACCACCGGTCCAAATAATACAATAACAAGTCTATTGTTCCATTTGCCAAATTGCGAAACTGAGTTCCGTGATGGCAAATTTTTAAAAAGCGCTAGGAAATCTCCACGATTGTTAGTAAGTAAAATTTGATTGACAGCATTTTTGTTTGATCGATTATTAGTAACTAACCAATAAAATAACGATTTTGTCATTCTTAAATCAAGTAGTAGTAGATTAAAAAGAGCTTCGATTCGACGTGCGGGTGTCAGTCAATTAGTTTGAAAATTAGCAACAAGATAACCATTTTATCGCACTCATATCCTGGAGTAGATATCCTAGAGTGTTAGAATTTTACAAGTAGAATTGTCAATTGATTAGTAATCTACAAAGAAAATGATGGTTTTAACATCCTCGAACCTAGTATCTACTAGTAGATTACCAGGTGCTATAAAATTTCGCAACTACGGTCAAATAGTTAGTAACTTATCAATGTAATTGTGACATTATCATCTCGTATCAAGTTGTAGTTACCAAGTACTTTAAAATTTTTATAAGCGGGCATGGTCATGTAATGAGAAAAGGACATCACAAATATCATAACTTTTGTATGGTGTACACTTTAGTATCAAAACGTTTTGAGCGATCACTTGAAAGCTATAACGGAAAAAAATAGATCATTTTTGTGCCTCCGGTGACATTTCGGTGATTCATCCTAAGTGAATTTTTTTAGTTATTGAATTTTAAGTCCGACGTGGGCATTTTGAACAAAAGTCGAAGTCCAACGTGGAAAAATATGGTAATGAATTTGGTGATTCTCTCTTTGAAGATGCATGCTTCTTGAATCTACAGTGGAGAACAATGGAGCCTCGACAAATCTGGTGGATGATCTCTGTGGTCGTCGTGATTTTGCTGGTCTATAGTCCTCATTCCACGAGAGTCAGAGATAGCCCATGATCAAAATTTGACTTCAAAGAAGCCCAGTTGCAACAACATGGAAATTCGCTTTCCTAAAAAGAACGAGTGAAAAATCGAAGAGGAAAAGAAGAAATCAAAAGCAAAATGATTTCGACCAAAAAAAAAAAGCAAAACGATTATTTTCTACTTCTTCGTTTGTCTATTGCTCCAAAAATTTAAAAGGAATCTGCCCCAATTCAAAGAATGATGGTTAGCGCTTTCTTTTTTTGAAGAATATGCTGAATTTTGTCCCAACCCGTTAATTTGCGGCAAATAGATGTTCAAACCACGTTGTTGAGGTCCAATTATGCTAATTTTATTTTGTCGGCGAGCCACATCGGACATTTTATATTAAAACATTATTATGTTGGATTTTCCAAACTCATAAATCGCCGATGACACTGAAGTGATTGTTTTTTACCAGAATAACACTTAAGTGATTGCTCGAAAAGTTTGACACCTAAGCGAACGCTGTACAAAAGTTATGACATTTATGATATCATTGTCCTGTCAATTTAGTAATAACTTTTTTTTTTCGGTTAGAAATTTAGTAATAACTTAGCAACATAAAATTTTTACCATATCTTGTATCCAGTGAAGATATCAAGAAATCTAATATTTAACAAGTGAGCCCTACAAATAGTCAATAACTTATCATCTTTGAATCTTGTTGAATTTTTTGAAAAAGCTTAACAAAGACATAATGATTTCACGACCCCACATCCTATAAGTGTTTTAGAATTTTACAAGTGGCCCGATGAATTACTTAGTGACCTACCAAGGGAATAATGATTTTACCATCCTTAAATTTAGTCTCCAATGATGAAATTTCTTACTTTAGTAGTAACTTGCGAACTCATTAGGGACCTACATTGGTAAGTTACTCATTTCATTAATATTTGTTTCAGAGTGGTAAATTTCTTTTTAAATAAAAAACTTTCACTCCACTTAAAGTTAGTAAATTCCTTACTTTGCCATTGGCTTACGACATTTTGAGCGGACCTATGATGGTATAAGTTATTAGTCTTGCTGGTAAGCAATCAAATCCACCACTAATTTCTTGTTTTTAGTGGTAAATTTATAAAAAAATAGCAACTTACTATTGCATTTAATGCTGGTGAATTGCTAATAGGGGTGAGCGGTGCCGGGGTCGGTTTGGGTTCCACTTGGAACTTATCTTACATACTCTAAAACCTAGAACATATCTTGTCACAAGTTCTAGGATCGATTCCACCTGTATTCTTAATTAATCGATTGCAGTGGATCATCACCTCTAATAACTACTATTTGCTACTACAATCCACTGATCACAACTCATATTTAGACACACGAAGAATATGAAACATTAACAAAATAAAAGTCTTACTCATAGACATCATCGGAAATGTAAGCTCGGATTAGTGGTTTCAGATTATACATTCATTATTGAACATCATGGAATGCCGCAGAATTGCGGAGACATAGAATAAGAAAAACACAAAGACTTGTTCCAGGTTCTAGGTGGAACCTATCCGTCGGAACCAGTTCTTTAATTTTTGGAATCGAGAACTTATCTTACATACCTTGAAATCTGGAATCGGACCGGTTCTAGTTCTACTCTGGAAGTATCCTCACCCTCTATTGCTAACGTCATCGGTAAGTTACCATTGGTGCACTATACCAATCATTGGCCAGTTACACGGTTTTTCCACCAAGTTTAAATCTTAAAAATACCAGAAAATCGCCATGCACGAACATGTGTTCCTCATTGGCTGATATAAAAGTAGCGTTCTGCATAGAACAAAAGCACCACAAATGTATCTAAACATTTCGCGTTATGATCAGGGTTTTTCGAACTAGGACTAGCCAAAGTTTCTTAGTAACCAAGTTGCAATTAGTTAACACTGTCTATGGCGTGCGACATGCTGCTCGATTCTTGGAATTTATTGTTCAAATGAGCCAGTACTGTGGGAAGATGACGAACAAGTACAAGTAATTTTTTTTCGACGATCACATGGATGAAAGATTCCCTTTCTTAAAGAAAAGGATAATGTGGAATAGAACATTATATAATTTCTCAAACGATGGAAATATATATAATCAAAGGAAATATCTTGAGCATCTCTAATACGAAAAAATATCATAATTACCTCCAACCCTCGGGATACACTCAAAGATATGTTGCAATCGACCACTCGTGGTCTTCTGATATACAATTTTCTATTGCTGCATATTTATAGGCATATGGGTTGGTGAACAAATAAAAATATCATGTTGTGGATGGCCAAAAGGACAAAAGAAAGAAAAATATTGTGATGAAAAAAAGGATAATAACACAAATAGTCCATGATCTTT